TCTCTTTAAGCGGAGAACAAAAAAAAAGTACTCAAATTCTTTAATCCAAATAGATTAAACAATTTTAAAACATGTGCATCAAATGAAAATTGTTTTTATTTTTTGAGTTTGATGAAAAATCATCATTTTAAGAACTGGGGTTGACCGGCAAACAACAAAAACGTTTATCGCATGCAAAAAACTGATCAAACAAAAAATAAAGAAATTTTTCTGTGAGAACAGATTCAATAATTTTTAGGTTTTTAAAAATATATTGAAGATTTAGCCATAAATGAAAAGTTACTTTATCTTAGATGGCAAGTCTCCACAAGCAGGTAATCTAAGATAATCAGCAAGGTTAATCATCGGCATTTTTCTGACCTGAAAACATCCTTGGTTACTGTTTTCGGTCAAAACACACACAAAAAAAGCGTAACTCAAAATTTAGTTTTTTGGTTTCATGGCAAAAATTCGAGTCAAACAATTTTATTTATGCAAAAAAATACAAAAACTCATTACAGCCCCCCCTGAGCATAGCAGTAGAAAAAACTGTAGCTTAAAACATACATTGTGATCCCATTCATAAGTGAACTCATACAAAATTAGTGTTTTCTCGTTTTGTTAGCACTGAATTGAGCTCAGCATAGAATTACGAGTTATGTGTAAAAAGTAAGTGCGCTTGTTTATTTAATCGATTTTTTTACTGCGAGGTTATACGGGGTAGGGAGGTTATAATGGGAAAAACTGAAGATTTCATGAGTTTATCTAATTTTGTGTACGCATGGAATTTCACGTTCACAGCAGCCACCCCACCCCCCTGCACTTTTCACATTTTCGTTTTTTAACATTGTTTTACATGCTACTCTGCCTAAACGCGCAACTTTACGACTAAGTTATGAATGACAAATCCGTTGAAATGGTTAGTTTGTTATCAATTCCAAGTTTCATTGAATTATGACAAGGTTTTAAGTGGTTTATGAAAAAAAAAATCTTAAAGGGGCAAGTTATGACTCTTTTTCCTCCTCCCGTTTCCTCACTTGTGATTTCTTACAAGTGTTTTTGTTTGTTTACATGGTCCAAAAACTGTTCACAAGTTATTAAAAATGTTGTCATGAGAACTAATTAGGCCTTGAAAACATATATTTAATTTTGATACTTAACCTATGTTGAATTCCATTCACGAAAACTTCCTATCATACCGGTCTATGCAAGAAAAATGATTATCATCCCAGGTTGACCTCCATAGACCAAAAATGTTAATCATACAATTCCATGAACTAAGTCTAAAAAAATACCAATCATACAGATTTCATAAGCTTTGCTAAAATGGTTTCATCGATTTTTCAAAGAACTTTTCTCTTGTTTTGGCGTAAAAATCGGCGTATCGTACTAAATGAAAAAGAAAAACTTTTTGCTCAAAAAAAATGGAAAATGCAACACTAGCATTTTTTTGATAGCGACAACAAAAAATTTTTCCAAGTAATTATTGAAATAGCCACAAAAAATTTTTTGTTTTTTTATTCGACCGCAAATCGAAATTTTACTCAAGTAAAGGTTAACCTAATTTACTTATCTTGGTTAACCTAATTTATTTTTGCAGACTATAGTTATTTTGCTTCAAATATTGGCTGCTATTACACTTATGTTACAGAAGCATAGAAGCGTAATAGAAGCGTTTTCACAATTTTCTTAAAAACCTTTATTAGGAATGAACATACAGAGAGACCAATAAGGGCTCCCTAGCAATTGTTTTGAGCAACAAAACTGACCGAACGCGCTTTTTTTCAAGTGCATATAAGCAAAAAGTAGTAGTTTGAATTTTGAAAAGTTTTAAAAAATCAATCAACAATCTCAAAAGATAAAAAAGCAAGCACTGGATTTTTTCCTGCAAAGAGTTTTTCAAGGTTAAGAACTAAGCAAATAAGAGCACAAAAATATTTTCAAAACCATCTCCCAATACACATACACTAAATAACGTATAGAATAATATATTTTGCATGCATCAACGTAATAAATATAGTAAATAGCTTGCCTCAATTCGCATTGGAATTTTTCTGAGCAGGGTTACTTCGCCAATTACCATTCAATTACTATATAATTCAAATTTCTATAAAGTAGTCCAGCCTGCATTTTTCATACAAAAAAGCAAAACTGGCTAAGATTTTTTGCGCGAGTCCAAATTTGAGTTTTTTATCGCTTTTACATTGTAACATATAATTCAATTTGTTTAAAAACATCAGGCCACGATTTTCGACTGGTTAGGTTTTTAACTGAAAATTTTTTGTACAAAGCACAAAAATTTTTAGTAGCACTTGATTCGAAACAAAATTAGTTTTTTGATTTATAGAAACATGTGTTAGCAAATCAGTGGTTATCAGGTTTTCGGAAAAAATTTCAAAAATTTTTTAGCGAAACTCGAAACAAATTTTTTTTTGATTTATGGAAAAATGTTCGTCATATAAATTCTATGTAAAAAAAAAAGCTTAACGTCGAGTTTTCTTACAATTTTCTGTACAAATAAAACTGTACAAATATGTATGATGAGCGTTTTTTCCCACAAATTAAAATTATATGACAAGCGTTTTTGGTCAAACCTAGGCAGAATATAAAGTTTTGGGAACCTCGATACACTATAAAGCTCAGTCGAGTTAGCCTGCATGCAAGTTTTGTAATTATCGACCAATATGAACAAAAAAGTTGGCCGTTTTCCCCTTCCTCACCTCGCATGAGCATCAATTGTTTTACAAAGGTTTAGTATGAAGACCAATTATGTTGGTCTTGACTTAATTAGTCCGCGCTTTTTTCCGTGAATTTTTATTACAATCGAAACATGCGAACAAAAAATTGTTTCTTGGTCGAGCGGTTTTCGCCTAGGTCTGAAAAAAAATCACACCGTCTCCAGCTTGGTCGTGAAAGCAATTCCGGGTCCAGAAAATCAGGACGAAAAATTGCATTATGGGTCGCAAAAGTCGTGCCCTGGGTCGCGCCGCATCCGTATTCAGACCCAAGTGGGTCGCGCCCCAAGTGGATTGTGATAGTCTGGATATACCAAAATTTGGTCACGAAAGTCTGGACGTGGGACACAAAAGTCTGGACATACTAAAATTTGGTCGCGAAAGTCTGGACGTGGGACGCGAAAGTCTGGACATAACATAATTTGGTCGCGAAAGTCTGGAGACACATTTTTCAGGCTTTCGCGACTTTATGTCCAAATTTTTGCGACCAAACTCTGGTATCTAGATTTTCGCGACCCATTGTTCAGACTTTCGCGACTAAATTTTGGTATGTTCAGACTATTGCGATCCACGGCGCGACTCACGTCCAAACTTTCCAGACTCAAACTGTCAGCGCGACTCTCGGTGCAATTTGGGTGTAAATCCGGATGCGGCGCGACCCACAAAGTCTAGACATGAGTCTGGGACCTCAATCTAAAATATGAACATGTATTTCGTCACATTTAAAACCATAAACATGTGATATCACAGGAATCAAAAAAGGGAAATCACATGTCTCAAATAACATGTGGGAATTTACACTGGGAACGGGAAAAAGAGCTAAAATGACTTGCGAAAATTCGCAGGTGTGAGGCAGGGCAGGTCAAAAATTAATTGTCATTGGAATTAATTACAATTAATCAAAATTTTTCTGTGCAATGAACTGATTTTCATTCCTGAACAACTACAACTGCATTGATTGCGCTCTATTTTTTAACTGCAATTAACTTTATCAAACGCATTTCTTAGAAATACTCGCACATTTCTCTGAAACTAATTTTTTTCTTACTTCACAATTGATTTTTAACATTCAAATTAATTGCAATTTAAATTTCAGTTGTCCAATTAATTTTTGACATTCCCTGATGGGAAGATTAAAAAGATTCGCGAGATGAGTGATGTCAGCCGCCATAATTTTACATATAAATGAAAGTTTGGATCTACTTAACAATCTCGACCCCTTTCAAGAAAGGGGGGATATTTTTAAGTATATCAAAATGGTCGATTTTTCGACCAATCAGAATGCAGCAAAGCTAGAATTCTCAATAGAAAGCTCAAGTACTAATTTATTGCATTTATTTATAGGGGTGGAGTTTCTTAAGTAGGTACCAAAGGGGGAGGGGGGGAGATTGTAAAGAAAATCCAAAACTTTTGCTCTGCTATTATGGCAATCTGTAATAAAATGATTTTTTATATACTAATGGTAAGTTTATACAATCTAGATTGTCAATTTAAATAAGAATGCGAGTTGATGAAATGTTAAAAAGACTCCGTGGCGCAAGGATAGAAGGAAAAGAGCCCAAAACCAAAAACCATTTTAGTCACCATCCATCACTTCATTTTTGATCTAGTTGCAATTCACCCCGGTCGAGATGCTCGGGGGAGATGTTTCGACTGTCTCGGCCAAAATTCGGTTAGTTTTGTCCGTCTCGTACGAAAATAGGGCTCTTTTCCGTTTTCCCCAAAACCTTCAAAATATCAGTTTTTATGTTTGTTTTACATGTTTGGTACAAGTGTGAAAGAGAAGTCACGGTAAAAACCAAGTGTGAGAAAGGGGTCTCAATCACTTTAATTTAGGCAAAGGTCGCAAATAAATAACTCAAAATTCACCGGTCGGTCGTTTTAAAACTTTTTTTCTCAAACGTAATTAACCTGCTTCATTAGCGCAAACTTATTCAATACTTCAACTGACTTCATCAAAGCACTAAATTGAATAATGTTGAGGCACTCTATTTACATTAGGGACCCAGAGAGTGTTTTCAGACCACTCTATCACACTTTTACCACCCCGGGTTGACCAAAACTTCCTATCATACAATACCCATATCGGAAAAACAAAAAAAATCAGTAGGCAAAAACACAAAAAAATGTTTGGGGAAAACTTTTGCGCCATCCAAAAAGTACCGGTCATACAATTTTCATATATGGAAAACTCATGATTAGCATTTTTTTCTTTTTTATTCAGTACGATACATTGATTTTTATGCCAATACAAGAAAAAACTTCTTTGAAAATTCGATGACACCATTTTAGCAAAATGCATGAAATTTGCATGACAAGTGTTTTTTCAAAGACTTAGTTTATGGAATTGTGTGACTAGCATTTTCGGTATATGGAGGTCAACCCCGGACGTGTTAAAACTAAATGCGTGGCCATTTTTCCACCCAAACCCCCCCCCCACACCAAACTTCAAACTTTCTTTTTTCAATCGTCTTATGAGTTATTATGGCTGAGCGCGTGATGTTATGAAGTAAGGTATGAAGAAACGATTTGCTAACAATTGTTATCTTGTTCACCATGCAAAATTTCAATACATTATTACAAGTTAACATTAGTTTTTCGAAACTGAAATTCAAATGTGGGGTAAAATTGGAAAAGAGGCAATGCATAAGGTTACCCGCGCAGAAATCCCATCGATTTTCATCAATTATCTTGATGTTTTATAGTCTGTTATAAACTGTGATATATTTTTAAAAAAACTTGGCCTAAATTTTTTGGCAAAATAATCAAATTTAGTTCTAAAAAGAAAATGGACTATAATTGATTATAATTGATTTTAATGGATTTTTGTTTCAAAATAAATGGATTATAATCATTACGATGCCAAGCTGGGTTTTAAAACAAGGTAATTATTTGTGCTTTTAAGCGTCTGAATTCCTCGGAAACATCTTTTGATTGTTTAGGAGACTTCTTTCTATGAATTCCACAATTAAATGATCACTACACCAAATGCCAACAAGTGATTTTTTTGTCAGTGAATTTTGGAGACAAACGTGTTTTGGACCTTGAAGTTAGCGCATAAAATGTCACTGGATTCCATAGTTTTCAGTGGAATCCGTGGTCAATTTATTCTCTTCTTTGCTGGATTCCACTGTTTGTCAGTGGATTCCACCGTCAACTTGTTTTTTTTGCCGCTGAATTCTATAAGCACTGTTTGAACTTGTATCGGATCCATTTTGTCATCATCTCTTTTTTAGGTTCTGTAACCATTTGATTTCACTTTTATATTTTATATGACAAATTTTATCAGCAAATGAGACCATTAACCCTTTATTTTTTTCGCAAACGAGTCAAGTCTCTACATTCTTTTAACCTCCCCCATCCCACTTTTTTCGAAAGTGAGAAAAGTACCTGCATGTTATCCCCCTCAGCATATAAGACAATTACACATTTATTTGAGCAGCAAAAATGCATTCCGACAGAAAGATAATTATGCCGAATCCAATGACCAACTTAATAATTTTATTGGGAACCCAATGACAAATAATTGTCATGTTTTATATTGTAAAAAGACAAGCGACAACCATATTTATTCCACAAACATGCTCATTGAACTAATTCCACAGATTATTATGTTTTATTAATACCACATATTTTCTTTATATTATCTTGAATACTGACATAATTCTCCAACCCGCTGAAACAGGGGTCAAAGGCGCCTTCAGAAGATTTTAGGGTCCGTTCAACAAAATGTTATATTTTAAATTAGTATCAAAGGGGAGAAACTTTGGGTCAGCAGGGAGTCGAACCCCAGAGGGGGGAGTTAAGAGCAATTAAATTTTGTGCGTGTGAGTGTTGCTGGGCACCATCATATGTCGCGATGCATTTTTTTCGTGATACATATTTATGAGGAATTTAAAGGGCGCTTCTTGGAGCACATTTTTATTATCGAGCTTTTTATAAGTATTATGAAGCAAATTTATCGAATCCATGTTTCAAAAGTAATAAATAGCAGATGCTGACCTCCTTCGAAGCTGTCGGTGACATTCATATAGAGTGAGTATGAAGTCTTAGTCTCGTAGTCCAGAGGGGCTGCCAGATAGATGTCTCCTGTGTACTGGTCAATCATGAAGGTCTTGTTGGCTGCCACTGGGTCCGAGTCAAATGAGAAGTCCAGCATGTACCTCACACGGCCAAACCTAAAATTAAACCAGAAAGCGTAGTTGCAAGCAGCAATATGATTTTATAAACGTGTCTTGGCGCTTTCCCCGCCCCCTGCCCTTACACGACTATGGTGCAACGAGTGGTTTTAGTCCGCACGTCAATTTTCATAACGATCGGAAAATGTAAACAGCAAAAAGTTGCAGGTGCGGGGATGAGGAAAAGGAGCCGTGTTCTTGTCGAAGCTTCCGATTCTGTTTTTTTGTCTAATCCGAGATTCCTCTCGGATTGCTATAGTTCTGACCAGCAGATACAATTTTAGTTCCGACCTCGTAAATCGCAGTGGGGTCAATTGGGTCATTTTATTGAAGCTCGTTCAGCCGTGATCAAGACTCCAAAAAATAAAAAGGATTGTCTCAAGTAGTGTAAACAATTTGATGACACAACTCATAATGACACAAAATTTGATGACTCTAAACTCCCCCCTCAGGCTTTTGACCCCTTGCCAACTCTCTTTGGTACTGCTTTAAGATAGCGATTTTTGTGAGACGCGCCCTAAAAATTTTCTAAAGGTGTATTTGGCGCCCGTTATACTATTTTTGAGCGCGCGCCGAAAAAACGCAATTTTTTGGTCAAAACTTTCCAAAAAAAAACACCTTTTTTGGCCTGTTTTATCAAAAAATTTGGTCAATAAAGGGTTTTTATAGTCATTTGTGAGAGCTCGGAAATCAACTTGGTCGACCAAAAAAAGGTCGACAAAATTTCCCCTTAATTATTCTGAAAAACCGCCACCCCTCGAGAAAGTCCGAGATATGCCCCTGAAACTCATTAATATGATCCTCAATCATTTCTACAGCAATCGCGTTGTTCTTTTAATTGTATTTGCTTCTCAATCTGCAATTTTTGACTTTGTTCAATCAGTCTTTCTTTAATTTAATAAACCGGAAGTCAAAAAAGACTTTTTGTCTATTTGCCCAGCAACTTGTTATCTTCATTTTGAACCAGCGCAACCTGTTTTTCGATTAAATTTTCTAGGCTGATAGTTCTGTGATCCAGTGTATGGGTGTGTTTGTGAGTTACCATGACTGTGGGCTGTCTGCATCTGTGGCAGTGAGGGTGATGGTGGCCAGTTGGGTGCCCACTGTGGTGTTCTCGGGGAAGGAGAAGTAGTTCACGGAGCCATTCGTCGTCTCAATTATGCTGGGGTCATTGTCATTCATCTCCACTATGTCTATCAGCACCAGCGCAAACCCAGTCAGAATGGGCCCAGTGCTGCAAATCATACAGAATAGTTACAGTACAGTTAAACATTACAAAACGGGGTTAACAAGGTCTTCCTCCTGATACACTTGACACTTCTTTATCATCGCTCCGTGTTTAAAGACCTACTGAAATGCTAGCCTCGATATCTCATAGACGAACCAACTCAATGTGACCATCAAACTCAAAAAAGAGACTCTTCAATGTTTGATGATTTTAGATAAACTTCTCCAGCTGTTTTCCAGAATTTTCCAGTTATTCTATTAGATACAACTCACGATGCACCCATGTTGTTATCGGCACTCTCCACTTTGAGTCTATGGAACCTGAACTGGTCATAGTCTATGGTTTGGGTCGTCTCCAGACAGAACTGGTTCACCACTGGAGCTGCACAGTTGGTGAGGGCAAACCAAGAGGCATTTCCGCTAATGGTCTTCAGAGTCAGGTCTGCCAGCAGCACCTGGCCAGCCGGCAGGGATGAATCATCGCCATCGTCCACAATAAGGGTGGTCACCACAGTTCCTGAAATAACGTGCAAAAATATTAGCTCCTGCAGTAAGACATTTTTATTATCATTTTTTCTCAAAATAATTTGCCTTTCTGAAAGTTACGGCCAAAAACAATTATGTCGGCAGGACCACTTTCATGTTACAAATCAGAGCATTCTGTTAATTACAATTTTAACTAGATCGACAAGAAAGTTTATTTAAACAACGATTTCAAAACAAAAGTCGGTAGTTGAGTCGTTTTGATCTGTAAGAGAACTAACCGATAGGAACGTATTCATTCAGAGACACAGCATAGCTGTGGGGATTGAAGCAGGGAGCGTTGTCATTATACTCATCAATGAGGATGTTGAAAGTGCAGGTCACATCTGTGGACCCGTCATTCACATCCATTGTCACACTCACACTACTCGTCATCTCTCGGTCCAACCTTCGCGCCACTCGGATCAAACCGGAGAGGGGCTCAATCACGAAGTACCCACCCGAGTTGCCACCCGAGAAGGAGAATGTGTAAGTATCGTACGGGTACTCGGGGTCAGCAGTCGCGTCGAAGTATGTCGACCCGTCGAGCACTTGTGTTCCCATCGGGGCTTCTTCGCCAATGTTCACATCGCTACAAGTCAACGCTCCGTTTCCGCTATCGACATCGGTAATTTGCACGTGAACAATCACCTGCTGTGATCGATGGGTTCCATCTGACACGTCGACAACGAGTTGATATGAGTGATTTCCGTTCACGTTGTAATCCACGTTCGTCAATACATTTAGCTGAAGTGTATTCGTCGAGGGTCCGGCGATAAACGAGAAGTAAGTCGCGTAGTCGGCGGGCATTCCCGACGCCAAAGTAGCGGTCATAGTTCCAGTCGAGTCAAGATCAGTACATGGCAAATAAAATCCAGTCGCTCCAGTGTCCGATTCCGAAACAGTATAAGTCACTTCAGAAGGATTACATAACAAGTTGTTATCGTTTGCGTCGGTTATGTCGACTGTTAAGCTAAGAGTAGCCGTTTTTTGAGTACCTTGATAGTCGGGCTCGTCAAAAACTTCGATGACCAAACTGTAGCTGCTCTTCGTTTCTCGATCGACAGTCTTCGCGATGTGAAGCACAAGTTCGTTCCAGTTTGCATTGTGCACCAATCGGAATGTATCACCTGAGTTTCCGGAAACTATGTCACCCGTGAACGGAACATTTGAGGTCACGTGGGTGAAATCAGTATCGACAATTGTAATTGTCTGGACCAAGGTAGTTCCAGAACAACAGTCTGTTTCTTGGAAGTTTACAGAACTAGAAGTGGCGGGATTGGTAATACTTGGATCGTTGTTGTTAATGTCTCTCACGTACACAAACATGGTTAGATCTGAGTTGGCTGGTAGAATGTTTGACCCGGCATTATTTTGGTCTTTAACTTCAATCGTGAGTTCGAAGAAATCCACAGGGTGAGTTTCAAGGTCAACTATAGCGCTGACCTCGATGTCCGGTCCCGGATTGCTAGTTCCGGCAACACGAGCCAGAAAATTTCCCCAAGCTGGTGCGGGAGACTCGGCAGTCACTGCATAATGTAAGACATTGTTGTCATCTGTCGCGCTGTCGGCGTCCGAACACGACACAGTTCCTATGACCTCGTTAGCTTGGATATCGTCGTCAATGTAAACGATATACAATTTTGGGTCGCATATTGGGACATTGTCATTGTAATCCGTTTTGCACACTGTGAAGTACTGGTCGGTAGATTTCACATTGTCAGAATCAGAGGCTCTGTCATATATAATGGCGAGAACAATGTAACAAGTGGGCCCGGTTTCGTAGTCTAGTTTTTGGATCAAGAACACCTCGCAAGTGTAGGGGTCAATTCTGAAAAACTCGGTTCCGTTGTAGAGAGTACAAAGCAGCTCGCCTAAACAGAGATATCAATTTCATGAGCAAGCGGGTTTGACGTTCATCGTACCAATAATTAAAACAGGGTCAAGTTCCACTCGTCTCATGTCTTAGATTTAAGGTAAATTCTTGGGAATCAAGTTTTTAGAAAAAGCGTAATTAAACGGAAATAAGAGTAAAAAATAAAGTAAAGCCCAGTAATCCAAAAACTAATTCGAATGAAGATCTCAGTTAACTTCATTGTATAGTGATTGCAGAAATAGGTTTCCTTATAGCTTTGTAAGATCATTTAGCCGAAATCAGCAAGAGGTCGACTATTTGCTACTGAGTTTTTGCCCATAAAAGACTATACTAAATCTCATACAGAAGCTAGAATCTTGTTGCTCTTCGCATTAGCAATTAAATAAGAGATCCAACTATGCTTCGGAAGTTAATCTGATTTCAATCAATCAGGTACGGGCGTGGTCTCTATGTTCTCATGTTTTGAGAATTAGAAATTTGGACCGTTTAAGTAAAAATGAAACGACAAAATTAACTTGAAGTTAAGTTGAAAAACATAAGACACCAGAAATGACGATCTCTTTAACTATGCAACTTCTATTGGAAAAAAGGACGTTTTTGGGCACACTTTGAAACATTTGGACCAAAAAATCTCCCCTCAAAATAATTACGGAATTCGAACCCCTAAGCACCCCAAGGGTCCTCCGTTTGGTACCATTTTAGGACACTCATTCTTCGTGGACTGAACCTTAAATTTTTCTAAACGCGCCTTAGGCGCCAGAATATGCTATTAATGAGGAGGCGCGCAACGAAAAAACAATTTTTTGATCAAAACTTTACAAAAAGTACTTCAAAACGTTTTTTTTACCTATTTTTTTCCAATCGATATAGAAAATTTTTATGGTGATTTGGTAGAGCTCAAAAAAATTTGACCGACCCACAAAAAAGCCGACAATATTTTCAAAAAATGAAAGTCTACAACCTCATTTCGATTGTCTACAACCTCAACCTCATTGTATACAACCTCATTTCGATTAAAGTTGATCTAATATTAAAAGTAAGAGAAATAAACTAAATGGACTTAAATTTGATGTAAATTTGTCTTTTTACATATTTTAATTGCATTTTAAGTCTACTAAAATCAAATTGATTCTTTTTAAATCGATTTAAATTAATCAAACTTTTTCCATACTTATTGCTGATCATTTTTACCAATTATATACAGACTTTATCTGTAAAATTGGAACTTTAAATATACTTTCCACAACCTCTGCTATTGGAAATTCAAGGGTGATAGGTAAATAAGACGATAGGACATTAAAACAACGACACGTTTACTCGACAGTTGATGAACAATGAAAGTTTATTATTTAAACTGATACTTCTATTTTCTCAATTTTTGAAGGAGAAATTGTGAATAATAACCAGGCCCCGGATTTAAGTTAAACAACTATTTTTTGTAGTTAACTAACTATCTCAGAGAAAAAGGAGGAAATGAACTAATCATAAAGATGCGCTTTATTTTAATTATTTCTGTGGAAGTTCTCCAGAAAACCGACAATATGTCACAAATTATACGCCAAAACTTACATCTTCACCAAAGCCTGTGATCACATGGTTGAGAAGTTGGTTACAAGCTGTAAAGAACAAGTTTTGAAATTTGAAAATTTTCCGTGGCCTGCTAATACCCGGGGCCTGCTAATAACTCGGGTTTTCTCTCAGATTGGCTTCATTTCTTAACAGAGAATTCATTGAAAATGATTTTTTTTGCTGTTACTGCAATATATCTTTGTAAAAACGCGAGTTTGATTTAACTTTTCGTTAACCAATTTGGTCGTTTTCAAAGTACTAGTTAGTAAATTAAAAATGTTTTTTTTTATTTAGGTAAAATCCTGCGCCTGCTAATAACCTCAATTTATTGAAGGAATAAAATTGAACTTTAATTGAGATAAACAATGTTAAAGGAGCAAACAAATATACCGGTTACTGCATATTACGCGTTTTCATTTTTTGGATGAAAAAAGGCTTGCCATTTAATTTTCAAGGTAGAAAATGTCTTGTTTTATACAAAAAGTTGTTTTTTTTCACCATTTTTTGTGCGAAGTCAATAGCGTATTACTTTTGGCTGGCCAACATCATCAAAAACTTTCCAAGGCGCCAATACAGGGGCGGATCTAGGATTTTCTCGAGGGGGGGCTGATTTTCAAAAAAAAAATGAAAAAATTTTGTCGACTTTTTTTTTAGGTTGACCAAGTTGATTTTCCGAGCTCTCCCAAATCACTAAAAAGACCCTGTTTTGGTCAAATTTTCCGCGCCGCAGGCAAAATTTTGTGAAAAACAGGCCAAAAAAGCGTTTTTAGGCACTTTTTCGAAAATTTTGACAAAAAAATTGTGTTTTTTTAGGCGCGCGCTCGCCCCTCAAAATTAGTATATATTGGCGCCTTTAGAAAAATTTAAGGTCGGTCAGCCAAAAATGAATATCTCACAATAGTACGAAGGGGGGACCCTTTGGGTTGGTATGGGGTCGAATCCCTGAGGGAGGGAAGCGTTCGCCCCCCCCCCTTCCCCCCCTCCCCCCCTGCCCCCCCTAAATCCGCCCCTGCGCCAATATAACTAAGTTTGAGGAGGTAGCGTGCCACTAAAAGTCAGTAGCGTGCCATTTTTGGCAGGCCAATATCAAGATTTTTCTAAAGGCGCTAAAATAACTAAACTTGAAGAGCGAACGCGCGCCAAAAAACGCAATTTTTTGGTCAAAAAAATTTAAAAGTACTCAAAATGTCATTTTTAGCCTGTTTTTTTTTCCCTGAAAACAAATTCCTGAAAAAATCAAAGGAAATTAAGTATGATAGTCTGGTTCCGTTAAAAGCAAAATTTTCATAATTAAAAACCAGGAGTTTTCAGTTTTGCGGGTTACGTAGCGAGGGGTTTGCCATGGACTTTCAGGAAGTTCCATAACACAGGGAAATCCTGGACTTGCTGGCAGGAACCAATTAAAAAGTCTGCCAGGAAGTCTAAGATTTGAAAAAAAACCTTTGGGAAAAAAGGTGTTTTAAGTCTATAATTTATATAAAAGGTGTCCGTAGGATTGAAGTGTCGCATTGATTTACTTTGAAACAAGGCCTGAACAGCAGGGCCGCACCTGAGTCCTGAACCCTTGAAAACCAGGCCTAAACACTTGCTAGTTAGCTTCTCAATTTTATTCGGTGGAAATACAGTTTTCCGTGAGGTTGCTGTTACTTAGCCTGTGGTTTTTCTGATGAGTAAAGCAATAGTTTTTGACAGCTTTGATTGAGCACAGTCGAAACATATCTCGAGCACAGTCAAAAAATAAGAGAAACTTTTTTTCCAAGCATGAACATATATTTTTTTAACGTTTTCAACTCAAATTGCAAACCAATGTTCCAAAAGATTTTAAAAATAACTCAAAAATAGCTCAAAATAGCTCAGGTTCAAAACGAACCGAATTTCGGTCGAGCACGGTATTAGTTCCTCGTTAAACATTCATTTCAAACAAGCGCGCTGAATATGCTGCAAGAGAAAGTTTTTTATTCCGAATAGCAGTTTTATCCTCTTAAATGCATGAAATATTAATCATAATTTGTTATCGATAAATTTTTTTGACAAATTAGATCAACTAGATCACGGGGAGGGTGTCAACTTCAATTTTCGACCATTCAGAATGAAGTTAAATTAGAATTTACAACGGAAAACTTCATCGCTGGTATTTTGTTTTTAATAGAGGTGGATCTTCTTTAGTTGATTCCGGTGCGAGAGCCTTCAACACTGCTAAAGTACAACAGTGCCGAAACTGAAAATAAGTTCAAGGGGCAGTACAACAGTGCCGAAGTACAACTGTACAACAGTGTAGAAAAAAAAGTTTTGGTCAAAAGTGCCGAAAATTATTTTTGATACCGTTTTTACTCAACCCAATTCACTGACAAGTAAGTCAATTCCAACAAACGGAAGTTGAAAAACTAAAATTGGCCATTTTGATTATTGCCGCTTGTTTAACAAACAAAAGTTCCCCCGCAAGGCGTCGTAAATTTTTCTGAACAAACAATTAACTCACTGAATTGTCAATTTTTGTCTCGGTTTCGCTCCAAAACATTACAGTATTTAAGAAAAATTGCCATAATTCACGCACCAAAAACTCAAAATTTTCAATTATCATCAATTTTTGGTAGTGTTGGACACATTTTCAGTTTCGGTAATCGGTACTGTTATACTTCGGCACTGTTGAACGCCCCGGTGTTCAACAGTACCAAAAATTGAAGATATTTGAAAATTTCGAGTTTAATTTGCGAGTTAATAGTTTTTTCAGAAAAATTTATGACGCCGTGCTTGGGAACTTTTGTTTGTTTAACAAGCGGCATCAAACGAAATGGTCGTTTTTGGTTTTTCAACTTCCGTCCATTTGAATTAATTTACTTGTCAGTGATTTTGGATGATTAAAAACTGTATTCAAAGCAGTTTTTGGCACTGTAGAACAAAATTTTGATTTTCGGCATTGTTGTACTTCGGCAACTTTGTACTGACCCACCAGTGCTAGGGATTTTAGCAGACCAGTTTTCTAGCAGACCAATCTTTTAGCAGACTCAGAACAATTAGCGAGTCAGAACACTAAGTTAAAACGCGACATTGGCAATTAGCGACCGCTTGCTCAGCAGCGCTTTCATTCGGCACTTACAGTTCGAAATCTTTGTTTTCCCGCTAATCTAGACTAATAAAGTTTTTGTAGTAGACTTCTGAAGTTTGGAGTTAATTTGGTGACAAATCGTGAAACAATTGTCTTAATTGGGGGAAGCATGACCCAAGGCTGAGCGTCTTTTTGACTCTGTCAATCAATCATGCATCAGTTTTATTCCGTTGGTCCGTTAAAAGATTCATTTTTTCACTTGTTATCCTAAAAGATTGGTCTGCTAAACGATCGGTCCCACTTGATGGGATTTGTTTAATCTGTTAAAATAGTCGGGTTTTTTCGTTAAATTAAGGTTTCAACATCTTCTACTGAAACTACTG